TTTTCCCAGCGTGAAGTGTATCCATTTATAACTGCCTATTGCCTGTTCTATTAGCATCCAAAAATGTGGAAGACCTCCCGACCACCATTTCTGCTGTGTCCGTAGGATGTGCAGTAAAAATATAGACCTAACAGTTTATGTTATAGAATGGCTTTATTTACTTTGGTGACTGTTTATAGTTTTTAAATAAAAGACTGAACATTTACTGGTGTCCTTTTTTTAGTGCCATACGGATGAAAACAGCTGGAATAGCTAAAAGAAAATCAAATGTCGGTTGTGCTTTAGAGAGCAGGCATTCCAAATGGGTTGTTGTCCAAAAAACAACACCATTTTTAGTAAGACAAGAGGAACAAGCAGTGTTCCCTGTCACACAGACACTTTTAAAAATAATTCCCTTTCCCAAAGGGGAGCCATTGTGAATTTGATAGGACATCACACAAAGAGGTCTGTCAAATAGCAGCATTAACATTTGGTAGAATATGTAATTTGGTGGTTTGGTTTTGTTTGTTGTTTTGCTTTTTTTTTTTTTCAGAGAAAACGTCAAGTGTTTATTTAAAAATAGAGTGTGTATTGAGTAACCATGGGTTTTGACACAACCTGACTACTAACTGTGTGAGAACCAAATTTGGCCATAATGAGTTGGCACTAAATATGGAACTAATTAATATTTCTCTGGAAAACACAGTATATGTAGCTCTGTTGCATTTGCTGTTATCTAATGGATTGAAGACTGATTAATAATTTTACATGATCATTGAGAAAAAATATTTACTAGATTGTAAAATGTGAACCTATGCACACAGACAGGAATTGATTCTAATAGTTGTAGGAAATACAGCATGGAATAATGGGATTAAAATATGAAAGAGAGAAATGGGGTACAGAGGGAAGGAAGTTGTGGAAATCCCACTGCTTGGGTTTGCCCTCTTCTAAGCAGAGTTACTTGTGTGAGCAGTCTGACACTGCAAGGACTGCAGACATAGGGATCTAGGTGGACCTTTCCCTCTCCTACCATTTCTGTTACAGATCACTGACCACTTCAAACAGCCCAAACATGATCTTCAGCAGTGCTTTTTCTGAGTAAAAAATGGGGGGCAAAGTATGGATTACATAGTTGCAGCTTGTGCTGTGTAGTAGGGATGTGCATTACTGATGTGTGTACGTATACGTAGCTTTGCTGTGAAATACTTGCTGGCCAGTTGCTCCAGGAGAACATCCCATTTCAGGATCTGGTTGCCAAAAAGCAGAAACACGCAGAATTCTCACAGGTTGCTTGGCAATGTGACCGTTGCCATTGCAGAGGGTTGCCAGCTCTGTGTCATCTGCATTTCTGTACTTGTTAGTGTTGTCCTTGCACGTGGTCTGCATCAGTCTGCATCAAACTCCCTGTCCCTTAACTCTTCACAGATGCAGGTTGTTTGTGACAAATCCAGTTTTTGAACGTTCATCGAGGGAGAGAGCAACTGGCACTGTGTATTTCAGATGACACGTGATACCCAGCATTCTACCGTTGCAGGTATCGGGGGAATGCATCATTTTTATTAGGTGTCTTTTCTTCATTGTGAGTTACACCACTGCTCCTTGCCACTAATGGAAAATGCCCTGCCTTTCCCAGTGAGTGTCATCTCAGGAGCACAGACGTAAAGGATGTGTTTTGCCTTGGCTCCAAAGCATCTTCTTGAAGAAGTGTACAAACTTCTCGGGGGGGGGGAGGAACATAATAAGACTGTTATACTAATTCCAGGTTAAGTGTAATTTTTTAAATGAGGAAAACGCTGGTATCTACAGTTGAAGTTCTGGTTTTTGAAGTGTTCCTCAGTATAGTAAGGATACTAAAAGCACCTCTTGCCGAAGTGCTACTCCTCAGTGTCTGACTTTCCTAGAGGTTTTTGAGTTACCAGCTGTACAGCAACAGGGCACTTTGTTGATGTGTGTTGACCTCCACTGAAAACCATTGCACCAACATTACCTGGAAGGAGAAAGAGCATTACAGTTGCTCATCTTTTCCCTGGTAATTTACGCCTGGCTTTGCTTGATGACACAGCACCCCGGGGTTTCTTTGTGGTGCCTGAGGGCAGGGTCGGGATGTGCAGCCATCCCTGTTCATTACTGCAGCCAACCTATGGTTTGGGGCAAAACACATCCTAGACCGAAAAAATGTTATGGCTACTGAAAAGATTTTGTTCTCAGGTTTTTCTTGGTAGTTTCACTCTCTAGGTTCAAAAGGCGTAAACCAGAGAGAGAAGCACTGGAGCATGTAGCCAGGTTTGAGTTCAGTTCCCGGCGCTGCCAGAGATGACCTCTAGGGCTTGCAGCAAGACACGGCAGTGGAAGTGTCTCATCTGCTGCAACACTGAGGTCACAGCTCTGCCCTGCCCGGGGGCAGGTAAATCAGCAGCTTCTTGTGATGCCGTGACATGGGACAGCCAGGGATACCTGTAATCACCCCGTCCTACTCCTCCCTTTCTGCCTTTTCTCCCAGGCAGTCATTAGGCTCAGTCGCTCCTTGCATGGGTGGCTGCAGAGCTTTGTGGCTGAGGTCCTGTCGCTTCAGTCGAGACAGGGTGTGTGTGCAGGTGGTGGGGCTGGGGCTCCTGTGAGGGGAGGGTTGTGGGGTCCTGCTGGGCAGAGGGTGCCCTGACAGCTCCATGGGTGTGGAACCCTCAGGCTGTGGGGATTTCACATCGACTACTTTGAGTTTGTGAATCGCTTGCAAGTGCCAGAGAATTCAAGGCTGATTGTTTTAAGTTAATACCAGTTCACTTCTGGTGAGATGGCAGTATGTTCTTAAATTACTGTGACTTCAGAACGGCCCTCAGTTGGTTTCAAGAGCCTTCTGGTTTTCCCGTGGTTGTGTCCCAGCTTGTTGTTTCTCATGGCATTGCTGCCATTTGTGCCTTGGCTTCTGCCTGTCTGCGATAAGAGATAACCAGAGAGTAATCTGAGTTGATACCTTTACCTTGGGTAAAAAGCAATGCAATATTAGACTAACAGAAAGCTTACAAGGATGAATTGTGGTACAGGCTTTCTTCTGCTGCTATGCTGGGTGGCTTTTTTACAGTTGTTTTAAGGTAGCCTTTGAATACCTTTTTTAGGTGGATTTGCTGCAAACTGCATTCTGGGAGAGTTTGCTGATTTTGTTCTTTGGGGGTTTTAAATTTGCCTGTCTATAGGGTGACTTGCTTTCCTGGTAAGTTTTTCTGCTACCCAAATGTCTGCTTGTTCCTTATCTTTGGGCAGGGCTCTCTGTTGATATTGTTTAGGATGCAGCTATATGTTAGGATGCAGCTATAATGGTGAAACAAAAAGTATGAAACAAGTCTTCCAGGATGGGAGGTTGTTCCCTCATCCCAGTTCTGCTGCTGGCTTCAGTGGGTGTCTTGCTAACCAGGCCGCAGCTCCAGGAAGGTTAGCTGGATCTCAGTCACTTTGCTGGTCTCTGGTGAAGGGTGTGCTAAGGAAGGAAGACGGGCCAGTACTTTAAGTTTTTTTTCCTTTGGAATAAGGTCTTAGAAACAGGGAGCTTGCAACTTGCACCGTTTAGAAAGGTTAATATGATTATGTCATTCCATTAGATGTCCTTGGGGTAATGAAGAAACAAGGTGGGTTCTGTTCTGGGTGTGTCTCCCTGTGCTGCTCAGATGGGATGTAACCTTCACAACCCAAGAGCTTTGTCCACACTCTGGGACAGCCACTCTGGGCCACTGCCACATGCTGGTGGGGCTGTCCTACGTGTGCCACCTGGGGTCAGCAGGGTCTAGAAGGGTCACAGCTTCAAATCTCTTTTCTGCCCTAAGCCTCAGGGAAGTCTTGGCCAACTGACCCTTTAGTAAAACCCACAATGCAGCAAAAATCCAATCAAGTGCCCCAACCTATGTAACAGGAGGTGCCTGCGCTGCATGGGTTTGTGTGTAGGTTGTACTTCCCCCCAGTATGAAGTCTTGTATGTGTATTAGAACACTAAGTTAAATAGTCATCAAATCCCTTCTAGGAACTTCCCAGGGATGCCGGGCTGTGGCAGTCCAGCTCCCTGTGCCCTCTTTGGCTTGGTGAGGTGGCTGCAGAGCTGCTGTGTGTCAGCGAGGGAGGTGGGGGTTGAACCCCAGTGTGAGGAGGGTCTCTCACACCTCAAGTTGTTTATTTAATCCCTCACCTTTCAGGGATGTTGAGGTTACATAGCAAAGCCATGTGCTTTGTAGAGAGAGCAGCAGCTCTGCAGCATGTTGACATTAGGCAGAGATGGTCAAATCAGACAGATCTTGTGCCTTCCAAAGACACCGTCATATTTTCAGGGGGAACGTCTTGGAGTACCATGGTACCATGCGCCAGTAAATAATGATGGT